TCCCCCCTTTTAACCCACTAAGCCATTTATAAGAGTTGCCCCAAAATATTGTGATGCTCCATAAGGGCAAAAATCAAAATGGATCGAAATCTGTCAAAACAGCAAATTCCTCGAGAAATCAAAACGGATCGGAATCAATACTAGAGAACAACGGTGGATTATTCTATTAGCAATCAAATTTCAGTTAGTTTTGTTTCTCATTTCTCTCTTTAGATTTGTGGGTATCTTTTTTTTTTTTTTAGCTCGTGTAGCAAAAAGTCATTTATTTCTTGTTTTGGAGCTATTTCTTCCATGTGAAACAAGGTAACTATTTCTGACATTTAAGGGTTAATCTTTTCCCTTTTCTTGTTATTAGTAATATTTTACTTTCTGGGTTTTGCTTGAAATTGAAAATTCAAAGGTTTATTTGGTGGGTTTACGCAGTTCTTTGAAAAATTGCAAGCAGAACTTCAAGTTGAAGAGGGTTTCAATTATCAATTTTATGATTTAGGTAAGCAACTGTTGTTGGTTTTTCACTTAAAATATACTTTTGGTAGCTTAATTTGTTCTGTTTTTCCATGTTTATCTAATTATCTTTGAAGTTAAGAGAAGTGGAGATATAATTATGGTTTCGATATCCCCCCCCCCCTTCCCTTCGTGCAGTTTTGCATTAATAAAAGTTGCAATTTGGTTGGATTAATTTAGCAAGATTTATTATGTACAAATAGAGTTTTATTTGAGCTTGTGGAAACTGCTTTCTCTTCACTTTATGAGTTTTACATTTATTTAGCCCATATTTGGCCTCCATTTTTAAAAATTAAAATAGGTGGAATATTTTATTTTTTTTTAATAAAATGAGTCGCAGAAAAAAAAAGAATAATTTTCGGTTTAAGTGTAATATTATTTTATAGGAGATTGTTAACTGCTATGAAATAATCTTATAAACTTAAGTTACTGCTTGCATTTCATTAATTTTAATTCATTAACATTTTGTGAAACTCCAGAAGAATTGATTGGTGTAATTCTCATTCTAATTTTACAATTTAGTAAGTATTAGTTGTTGAGTGACTTGAGTCAAATATCATGGCTCCTAACTATGTGTTTGGAACTCAAAAAAGAAGAAGAGAGAAAGAGTAGAGGCATTCATTCGAAGCCAAACTAGAGAGATATGGATACGTACCTTAATAACAAGAAAGAAAAGAAGAAGAGAGAAAGAGTAGAGGCATTAATTCGAAACCAAATTAGAGATATGGATACGTACCTTAATAACAAGAAAGAATAGAGAAGGAACGAACATCAAAAAATTTAATAATTGAGAACAACGGACAATAAAAAATGGATTTCTTGCTAGACTTAGGAGCCCAAATTATGAAGTTCACCTCAAGCCCCACGAAATAAATGTACGGCACTATATATATATATATATATATATACACACACTCTATGTGAGTTCTCGCAGTGCCATTATACTTGTTATATATTTATGGTATAAATATAAAATGTGAAAGAAATAATCAAATCAGATGAAGTGCAAAAGTGGTGGGAAATTGGCTCTTGGGCTTCCTTGATTAAAATAATTTTTTTTATTATTTAATGGGTAAAACTAGCCAGTATTTTTTGACTGTTTGTTTTTGTAACAACCCACTAATAGTCATTAAAATACCCACCACCCAGTCATTAAAATTCAGCATTACTCTCTGACCATGGTGGAGAGTGTTACTTCCATCTTGCCTATATAAAACCCATATCTCGTTTTTGGAAAAACACACATAAAAAAGAAAATAGAAAAATTATCTTGCATCAATTCTCCTTTTCATATTCTGAATTTCTTATACTCGGGTTTTTACATATATTCTGGAGTACAATTGAAAGTTCTGAAAAAACCATTCGTGATTGCTGCATAAGTGGTTTACGATCGTTGTATCCTAGGAGTGATTGTCCACGGAGGTCGCAGCAATTATTGACGGGCAATTTCACTTTAGGACATCGTGCCGTCACGAAACTCGATCAAACGATAAGTTTTATACTTCTGCATTTTATTGTTCTGAACATTACTGCAACTATTTATTTTTCCAACAATACTAACTATGGATTGAGGGCTATCTATTTGACATAAAAAATTTGAGTTTGTTTTGGGGTTTGTATTGTTAAGTTGATTTATGGTTTTCCTTTTTTGAGTCAACTTCTTATTATTAATTGGAACTACTTCTTCTCAAACATTAATTTTGGTAAGGCTACACGGAGAGTTCCACAGAGACTTCCTTTTATGGGCTAGGCAAATAAATGTTTTTGTAGTTATTATAAGGAGACAATTGAATTATTATTCAATAAAAAATATTGAATGTTCAATTTTAATTATTAATGCACAAAAGTTGAATTACTTGAATTTTCTCAGTAATATGTGGGAGTATTTTTCATAAAAATAAAAAATAAAAATAAATAAATAAAAAATAAAAATAAAAATTTACACCATCCTTGAGTTATTGTACATGTTACATTTGAAGATTTTCTGTCTTGAATCCTAAATTTCAAAGTAACCCACCTAAATTACAATGACATGGATTGCTAGAAGAGAGGTGTAAAACCTATTTGGTGGATTTTCCTTCAAAGCCTGATTTAGAGAATTTCCATTGCCAGTTACTATTATTCAAAAGTGGTGGCTTTCTCTAGATAATGATATGTCTCAGCAAAAACAAGAATAAGTCATATAATGCTTAGACGTAGTATATTTTATATACATGTCTATGGTTATTCAAAATTGAAATGGCCAAGGCTGTTCTATAGGGATAAATTTATTTGTTATTTAAGGTAGATGTCTTACATACTGTCTGAAACTCGTTGTTTGCAGCATTGCTTCTATTTGAGAATTTGTTCTTCTTTTTAAACATTCATTTTGAATATAAATGACTTTTCCAAGTTTTTTGCTCTATCATACTTCAACCTACATTTTTAGATTTTGTATTGATGGATGATGCTGTCTATACTTCACCTATTCTTCATTTTATATGTGCTTATTGAAAATTCCTTGTGCCTAAGATAGGGTTCTTTGCAGCCTTCTTTTGCTTTGCTGAATTATATTGTTAATACTAGGCATAATTTATCAATGAGCATTTCTATTTGTTCCTTTTGTATAGTGACTTTGAATCTCTGTAGTGCTATCGATCTCCTCTGTCTCGTTATTGCAACATGCTTCTGTGTATTTATTTCAATTGAATTATCATTTTCAAGTAAATTATTGTATTCCATCTTGTAAATTATTGCTCCCTCTTTGTTCAAATTTTGGATTGATTCTTACATCTTTATGAAACATTATTTCTTTTATGCAAATGTGTTTATTAAAATTTTGTAATACCATCTCCAATGAATTCTCAACTTCAAGACGCTAATATTACTTTCAAAATAATACAATCTGTGCATTGCACGGGTCAAAAGCTAGTATATATAAAAGAGCTTAACGTATAACTCCTTACTGCATCGACACTCGAGGAAGAAAGAGCAGAATGAGTGCCAACTAAATCTACTAATGCTAGTGAAAGCCCCTTTCTTGCTCCTATATCTCTCGACCTATAGGAAGGAAGTTCTATACCCACCCATGGAAGAAGTGAGGATGGGAATCTTGTAGTAATATCGATCTATTTTATGAAAGGAAGAAAGTGATTCGTGAGTAGGAAAAAATCAATAAACAAAAGGCCAACGAGTAAATCCT